TGTCGAAGAACCGAATCGTCCAACAAAGAGGGTAAGAATTAAAAAAGAGGAGAATGTATAACTGCACGGAATTGAAATGTATCTGGTGACCTATATCTAAGCTTCTATATTAGAAACTTTAAATTCCTCGTCGGGCTAAATACGTGTCAAGGAATCAACTTGCTAGATTGCAGAAACAGTTCGTTCGCGTCCGCGACAAGACTCGCGGTAAGAACCCAGAGGAGCCTAGCAAAGGTCCTAAATCTTCCCTTAGTTAACTACTTTACCGACCGGTAGCGGTTGAACATCCTGCGCACTACCGACCGCTCGGCCACAGATAAATCGCTGACACCGGTTCTGTTTAGACTCTAGGCTATCGCGCGGGAATATATGCGCTTTTTCTTATACCTATAGAAATGTTAAATCAAACTTTGACCGATTAATAGGCTATCAGTCGGTAAGCGTCGGCGGCAAAAAAGCGATTAATAGGCTACCCGGTCGGTAAGCGTTGGCGGGAAAAAGCCGATTAATAGGCTCCCGGTCGGTAAAGTGTTAATACCGCGCCGCGGCTTTACGCGAGGTCCTGGTGAATCGAATTAGGAAATATTACTGTAAATATCTTGAGTTCAGATGAGCTGAACGATACATTATTCGGATGGTTGAATTTATCGTTCTACCCTCCATAAGAATATGAACAAAAAAATATCGATGACCTTGAAATCTCGTTAAAAAAAAAATCCATCGACAGATGTGCCCCTTGAAACAGTATAACTTTGTCCTCTGGAGGTTTTTCATGCGACCAACAATAACGGAGATATTTGGGTGTTCCCATTTAAATGCCCCATCCTGTGTATACAAGCAAACTTTATTGGTAAACAAATGGTACGATTGACGCGATTACTGGGTGTGATCTGACTTGAGACCTGTCTTGGTCGGAAGACTCTGGTTTCTGGTGTTGGACGGTTTCCGACGACCTTCTACGACCACTGTCTTACGGTGACTCTTGGTTCACTGTTTTTTTGGTAACCGAGGAGTGAAGACACTGTGCAGAGCTTCCCAGAAAGGGGAAAGCTCCGAGCGATGGGTATTCCTTCACCGATTGGCTATCGGTACTAGCCAACAGTATTTTTCGTAGCTCTGTCTGCTTAAAGGAACTTTCTTTCGAAAAATTACCACCTTCGTGTAATTAATCATAAGTTCGATAAAAAATGTGAACTTTGAATTGCCTTATTTTTTTTATTCTTTCTTTTCAAACGTAAAGTTAGGGAAAGTACATTTTGAAAAAGGGTGAGTTTGATTTGCAAAAAGGTGAATTCGATTTGCAAAAAGTTGAATTCGATTTGCAAAGGGATAAATTTCATTTGTAAAACGTTGAATTTCGAGTGGAAAACCTGCAGTAATTTTTAGTATCAACGTAAAATCACATTTGCGCTAATTTTATCCGCGCAAAACTACACAAAAATTGCAGTTTCGCAATTTTATCTATTGGTACTGATAACGAAGATATGAAAAATCTTATTATTCATGATTATCTGACTGATCAGCCATTACCACGTGTACAATCAATGGATAAACCAATTTTTTCGTTTCTCACATTTGTTCACAGATAAGGGACATCTGCAAGGACCTGATCCTGTCCGATGACCAGCTTCGAATGGTCATGCAGAAGCTGGACGATGAGATCAACAAAGGTCTATCGAAGGAGACTCACAACTCGTCGATTGTGAAGTGTTTCACGACCTACGTGCAAGACCTTCCTAATGGCACCGGTAAGACGACACGTGATATACCGGGTGTCTCGATAAAACTCTGAAATATTACGAATATATCGTCTTCCTTGTGTCAAAATCGTGAATTTTGAAAATTTTTTATTACTTTTTAAGTGAAAGTTGTTGACCGAGTGTTACTTGAAGAATGAGAGGATAATCGAAAGAATTATTTTCTAATTAAATTTAAGTGTGAGATAAAAAGTTTGAGCAATTTTTCTCCATTTATAAAAGCTTGTAGAGAAAGAGAAAGAAAAAAGTGAATTCAATGCTAGAAAGAGCACGACGAGTGACTAATTACCATTGCCAGTGGGAGACGTGCAATCTTGTTTTTAAATTGACACGGGCATTTAACTCTCATTCCTGCCTCTCGAATACGGTTTTCTTCAACTTCTCTTTTTAGTGTAGATTTGATCTAATTCTTTTGACCAAATTATCTCACATCGCTGCCTTCCGGATACAGTTTTCCTCAACTTCTTTTCTTAGCAGAAAATTAATCAAATTTTTTAACGAAATTGTCTCACATCTCTGCCTTTCGAATACAGTTTCCCTCAACTTTCTTTTTATGCTTAAAATTAATCAAATTTCTCAGTAAAATTAACTCACATCTCTGCCTTTCGAGCACAGCTCTCCTCAACTTCCCTTCTCCACACAAAATTACTCTAATTTCCCAATAAAATTCGAATTTCAGATTTTTCAACGTCGACGACCGTGTTTCTCAGCAGAAAATTAACTCACACCTCTGTCTTTCCAATACAGTTCTCTTCAATTTTCTTTCTCAGCAGAAAATTAACTCACATCTCTGCCTTTCGAATACAGTTCTCCTCAGCTTCCTTTCTCAGCACAAAATTAATCAAATTTCTCAGTAAAATTAACTCACATCTCTGCCTTTCGAGCACAGCTCTCCTCAACTTCCCTTCTCAACAAAAAATTACTCAAATTTCCTACTAAAATTCGAATTTCAGATTTTTCAATATCGACGACCGTGATATTTCAATCCCACATTTTCTATTACCTAATATTTTCTAATCTTTTTTCACATCGATTCTATCATCGTAATTATTATCGATTTCCAGAGAAAGGTAACTTTCTGGCCCTGGATCTGGGCGGTACGAATTTCAGGGTGCTGTTGATCACCCTCGACGGTCAGAACTTCGACATGAAGAGTAAAATCTATGCGATACCGCAAAGTTTGATGTTAGGAACCGGTACACAACTGTTCGATCACATAGCCCAATGTTTAGCGCAATTCGTCAAGGATCTGAAGCTTCACGATCAGGTTCTACCTCTTGGATTCACATTCAGCTTTCCATTGAGTCAGCATGGATTGACCAAGGGTCACCTGGTCAGGTGGACGAAAGGGTTTAACTGCAGCGGAGTGGTGGATCAGGATGTGGTCGCTCTGCTCGAGGAAGCAATAGCAAGAAGAAACGTGAGTTTCACATTTTTCTTTTTCTTTCTTGTTTCATCGATGAAACGATAATTTCATTTTTAAATGTACTATTAGTTGCAATTTTCCAGTTATTTGTTCAGGTTTGTCGAAAATGTTTTTTTTTTTTTTTTTGGAATACTTGCAGGTACAATTTTACAAATACTATACTGTAAAAAAAATTGTTAAGTTAGCTTGGAAAAAGAAATAGAAAACGAATCAATCTGTAGATGTGAAATTAAGCAGGAGTATTATTATTATTGATAAATTTAATGAAATACATACAACTAAATTATCTCGTTTAATCAAGTACAATTAATTTCAAGATTCAGAAAGTTAATATAATTGATATTAAGATTACAAATTTAGTCTTATTCTATTAGAGATTGTTCATCAGCCAGTGTCAGTTAAGTCACACAGGAAAAATAGTTGAAAATTTGCATTTAATTAATAGTTAAACAGTTTCGTATAATAAAAATACCGTACCAATGGAATCTCTGCTAAAAAGAACGAAAGTTGGCACTTTCATAGCTACGTCACTATCAATGCCAAGCAACAAATGTACCTTTAATTGTTTATCTTTAGACTAGTCCAAGATTTCCGCAATTCTATATTCAAATTATGCACAAGATTATTTCACTTTTACTTTCGTAAACTATAACACATTATTTCTCAATTATTTTAAAGCTTCCATACTTTCTTTTTAACAATTTCAGCGAACTATACTATTTTCCCTCTTTATTTTTAATTTCTGCTTAATTTATCCCTGCAATTTACATTGTTTCCCACTTTCCTCCAACAAAAACCAACGTACATAAAAGAATTTACGAAATTACGAAAGAATGACTGTTTAATTTTTTCCACTTAAAATCTGTACGATTGTACCACACCAAAAATTGCAACTGATAAGCTGCGTTTAAAGAAGGCTGGCCACACGTGGAACGCGGATAAGTTCTAAATTGGTCAGTGATTTCATAACGATTGTGCTAATGAGCAACGAGAGACGAGAACAATGGCAGGGACAATTGTTGCGTACTAGCTGACCGTGGCTAATTGCAAAACCGTGCTAACTTTGATTTACTGTGCAGGACGTGAAAATCGACGTGTGCGCCATTCTAAACGACACTACGGGCACGTTGATGTCCTGCGCCTGGAAAAACAGAAACTGCCGTATCGGACTTATCGTCGGTAGGTATTCAGAGCATGTGTAACACCGGAGATGTAACGCGTGCCAACCTTCCACCGACGTCGCTTTTTGGGTCGAATTTAGATTAACTAAAACTATAGAAAATTACGAATTAACCCATTTGCATCCGTAAGCGGAATATTCCACACGCGACGATCGTCACCTATCAAAAAGCGCGGACTATTCCGCGAGCCGCGACTTTCGTTTATCACCGGACGCGGAATATTCCGCCTTGAACATTTTGTATCACCCGCACGCGGTGATACGGGCCGACTGTCGGTTGAACGCCGCTGATGTCTGCACTCAGTGGCATAGGTAGAGTCGTGATGCAAATGGGTTAAAAGTTAAAAAGAAGAAAAAAGAATCTTAGAATTTGTATGTTCCTTTCTTTTTATCTTGTTATACGGAGTTTTACCGTACTCGAATGAAAATCGTTTAAAATTCTTAAAATACGAAACTGCAAATTCAGAATTAAAAAGGAGAAAAAATAATCGAGTGAAAATCGTTTAAAATTATTAAAATACGAAATTGCAAATTCTGAATCTGTGTTCCTTTTTTTTTTCTTTATCGTGTTATACTGTACGCGATTAAAAATGATTAACGATCACGGACGCGACGATCGGTAGGTAAATAAGAAATTCTTTGAAAAGAATAATTTTGCAACGAAAGGGTTAAAATTGTATTTTCCTAATTCTGCTACGATTCTTAATTTTTCTTTACTTAATCGTCGTTGCGATTCTTTAAAGATTGCGTAATTTTGGGAAACTGAAGAAAAGTTTTACGATTCTTCAATTTTTCTTCTTTAATTTAATCGTCGGTGATTTGTTTGGCATCGACGTATTATGTGACGAAGTTGCGCAAGTGTACAGCATTATGTTGCCATGTATAGTGGATAGAATCAGTTCAAAGGTGATTTTACAGTAATCGACAAAGCGGTTTTCTTCGCTGGTGAAAAATGAAGCTTTTGCAGTTTCGTAACATTACCATTGGACCGAGGATATGTTAATTTTGTCCAAACACCTGATTATTCGTTATCCATTATTCAACACTTGTTGCGCAATTGTATTTACATAGATACCGTGATATTCGATTTCGAAGGAATCTCATTTTTTATCGTTCCGATAATCGACCGTACACGAAACGTGCCAAAAATAACGTCCGAAGTAATCGCGACTCGACGATACCACATTTTCCAGGTAGAAAAACGAACATTCGAAACGCGTGAAAATTTTCATTTCGTTATTTCAATTTTCAATTGTTACTTCTTCCAAATTTGCTCATCATAAATTCTTAATTCTTCACACCGATACCACGAATTATAATTTCTTTCCCTTTCGATCGTTAGAAAAATAATACTGCATCCAGTTCATTTCTCCTTTTCATTTGTTCACATTTCGTGGTACAAGAAAAAAGAAAAACGTTAAATCGTCTGTTTTTCCACGAATTTTCCAGGAACCGGAACGAACGCCTGTTACGTGGAGAAAACCGAGAACGTGCAGTGCGCGATCCCAGGTAACTACGCGCCGCAGAAGCCTCACATGCTGATCAACACCGAATGGGGTGCATTCGGCGAGGGTGGCGTTCTCGATTTCGTTCTCACGGAGTTCGATCACGACATCGATCGGAACTCTATCAACCCGTCTAAACAGTTATTCGAGAAGATGATCTCGGGAATGTACATGGGTGAATTGACGAGGTTGGTCCTCGAGAAAGTGGTGAACGCCGGATTACTGTTCGGCGGAAAGTGTCCCACCGATCTCAAGAAACGCGGCAAATTCTTCACGAAATACGTCTCAGAAATTGAAATGTGAGTAATTGGAGACGATTTTTTTGGAAGAACGAAATTTCGGGTTTTTCGCTTTCTCGGGTCGTTGTCGTAATTTTCCGAATTTTTTCCGTCGAAATTTCGATCGATACTTCCGAACAATTTCGGATAGAAGATTACGCTTGTAAAGTGGTTAAAAAAATTTCGATTAACGTGAGTTAGAATTCTGGATAGAAATGAGCGAAGAAATCTTTTCTTTTTTTGCACAAACGAATTATAGTTACGTAATAATTTCAGTGAGTGAAAAATTTAAAAATTCGATAGATACGAGCAAAGAAATCTTTCTTCTTTGCACAAGTGAACTATAGTTATACAACGATTTCAGCGAATGGAAAATTAAGCAGCGATTATTTTGCATCAATTAATTGATACGAATTAATTGAAAAAAAAAAAAAAAATGGATTGTTACAAATTAGTCGACGTTAATTTTCAGCGACGCGAAAGGAAAGTATACGAACTGCCGCGAGATATTAGCAGAATTAGGATTGCGAAACGTGAGCGATCAGGATTGCGAGAACGTCAGGTACGTTTGCTCGGTGGTGTCGAGGAGGGCAGCTCATTTGGCCAGCGCTGGAATTGCCACGTTATTGAACAAAATGGGCGAAGACAACGTTACAGTAGGGATCGACGGCTCGGTATACAGATTCCACCCGTACTTTCACGATCTTATGACCGAGAAGATAAACCAGTTGCAGAGCCATAAGGTGAGAGGAACAGGAAGAACGCTGGTTTCCTTCTTTCTTTAGCGTTTCTAACCCTGAATCGGACTGACAGAGTCTGACAAATCCAACGCCATAATTTTACAATTGTTTTATCTTTACTATTTTATCTTCACCAGTGTTTTATCTTTACTGCTGCTAAAATTGTGAAATTGTTGCGTTCGCAGTTGGAAAAATGGTGTGTAGAAACGCGTCAATTTCCGAGATTCGAGGGTTTGAAAGAATTACCAAATTGACAATTAGCAGTTTGAGCTATGAAATCTGATAGAACGGATCGTACGGACAAAGAACAGATCTTATATTTCTCGACGGTATCTCTGAATCTTATCTGGAACGAGGTCGAACTGTATGAAGGAAGAAATATTCTGCATGAGTCATACAGTTTCTCGTGGATAGATCTTTTTTTTGTAAAGATTCTAAGAAATTTTAATTCATATTTTCTTCAAATTTATTCCAGTCTCGTAGAGAGACCTTCGTGACAAGTTTCGAAGCAGTTATTACGAATTGCACGAGTTACGTACGAGAGTGATCAATAATTACGTGTTTTATCATTGAAATCTTTAAACAAAGAGATAACGAAGTAACAAAGATTTGTACCTATTTTTTCTTATCTAAAGAAAAGATACTGAAACAGAAAACTAGTTTAACGTTCTATCGTTCGGATTTTGAAAGAGAAATTAACGAAATAATGTGTAAAAGTTTCCTTTCAAAGGCTAAATTAAACGTTAATTTTTAACACTAAATGAGAGCGATATTGAGGCAGTAGGTCACACCTACTTGAGCAATGATTCTGTGGTGGGGCACTTTTTGAATGTATTTAGTAGCGCTCGCCCGCCCTACGAGCTCGCGGGCTCTGCTCGGGGCAAAAAAGGGCGCTCTTGTCCCGAGAGCTGACCGCGAGCCCTGCTCATAATAAAACAGAGCTCTCTTGCTCGGGGAAAAAAGAAGCGCTATTGCCCCGGACACTGCCCGCGAGCTCCGCTCCGAGCAAGAGCGCTCTTGCCCGCGAACTCTGCCCGCGAGCACTATTCGAAGCAAAAGAGAGCGCTCTTGCCCCGTGCACTGTCCGTGCGCTCTGCTCGGGGCGAAAAAGATCGCTGTTGTCCGCGAGCTCTATTCGAAACAAAAGAGAGCGCCTTGCCCCGGGCACTGTCCGTGAGCTCTGCTCAGGGCGAAAAAGAGTGCCCTTGCCCCGGGCACTGCCCGCGAGCTCCGCTCGGAGTCAAAAAGAGCGCTCTTGCTCCCAAAATGCTCTGACTTAGTCTACGAAAGCCCAAAAAATTTTCATCGAAATGAACACAATGTAACGAAGAATTTCTAATGTTTTCTTGCAGTTCGACTTAATGCTGTCAGAGGATGGTAGCGGACGTGGAGCGGCGTTGGTCGCCGCGGTGGCCGCCGCACACCGGTGAAGACAACGACTGTGCCGCGTCTCTTCAACTTAGAAATTAACACTTTTCCGGCGGGCGTTTCGGGCGAGAACTTTCGTTAACCGCGGGCAGGCATGTTTGGCGGTCGCTCAAACAGCACCGACCGTTGTAACAAACATTATTTGTATAGTAACTATTAAAACTGTCGTTATATAAGGAATTATATCATTAATAAATGTTTTTTATTAATGTACATCGATATTTTATTCCGGTATGATGATATATTTCGAAACGTTTTCCTACGTGTGAACCGAAACGCCGCGAGAAGAGCACAACACGGAACGTAACATTGCAGGCTCTTCGTGGATCTTGTATAGTACACCTCTTCCTATTATGTCAGTAATTCTGTGCTAGTTTCTTTTCATTTCTGCACCTTCGCTACTATCTGACAGATTTCATCACTGTCACTACATATGTACATCAATATCTGACAAAGGGCCAGCATATATTTCGTCGCGATTTCTCCTACTCGCCATTGTTGATAAAAATTACAAATTTAAAAAAAAAACGCACTGGAAAACTCGCTAACCAAAATTAACAGACACTACTCTTCTCAACTGGCGAAGATTATGCCGAAATAGACGAAATAAACGTAAATCTTTTGGTTTGATATTCGACGAACGAGAAAAATGCAACACGCCCGCTTAAAGGCGCTTAGGGTCGAAAGTTACCACGCGCACACGACGACGCCCGCCGTGAAAGTGTTAAGTTATATACGCAGTAACGATACAAATTTGACACACCGTTAACATACACGTACACAGAGCTATGCATGAAGTCACACGTATGCGTCGAGGAGATGATGTGTAAAGTCAAAGAAATCGAGTTAGCCATTCAAATGTTAAAAAAAATATGAGTGAGAGAGAGAGAGAGAGAGAGAGAGAGCGAGAACGAGAGAGAGAGAACGAGTGTGTAACTGTGTCTGTTCGATAGAGAAATTATACGTGTGTGAGAATGAAGACCGTATGGAAAATGGGAGAGATTGAAAGTGAGCTTCATACGCACTTGTACATAGAGCATAAAATGTAGCCTAGACGCGTCGAAACTGAACAGTACTTGCAAACAATTTCCTCATTTACAAGCCGACGAAACGTGGTGCTCTCACGTTTTCAGTTTCGCCAGATCGCAAGAGCGAGATCGAGAAAGTAGAGAAAAAAGTGAAGAAAATCCACGAAACGTAACTTTTCCCTCCCCCCACCTCTTTCAGTGTTTTCATATGGAAATGTGGTTGTACGCAAACGATTTAAATAAACCACTCTAACAAATAACGATCTGAAACAAAACAAACAAGTTCTATACTACTGCCATAAGTGCAACCGGATAAGTTACACACAGCTGGAAA